AAAACCAGTAGAAGGAAGGAAATAATAAATAGTAGAGCAGAAATAAATGTAAACTAAAAAAGACCCCAACAGAACAAATCAACAAACCCAGGAGCTGGTTCCTGGAAAAGATCAACAGGATTGATAAACCTTTAACTTGACTCCCCACAAAAAGAGAGGACTCAGATAAACAAAATCAGAAATGAAAGAGATATAACAACTGAAACCTCAGAAATAACAAGGGTTATAAGAGAATATTTTGAAAAATTATATGCCAACAAATTGGATAACCTAGAAGAAATGGATAAATTCCTAGAAATATATAATTTATAAAACTGAAATAAGAAGAAATAGAAAATTTGAACACATTGATTACCAGCAATGAAATTAAGGCAGTAATCAAAACCTCCCAACAAACAAAAGTTCATGACTAGAGACTTGTAGAGATGATTTCTACCAAACATTTAAAGAAGAACCCATACCTATTCTTCTCCAAACTATTCAAAGAAACAGAAAAGAAAGAAAAGAAAGCTTCCAAATTCATTCTGTGAGGCCAGTACTATCCTGATACCAAAACCAGTTAAAGACTCTATTAAAAAAGAGAACTGCAGGCCAGTATCTCTGATGAACGTAGATACAAAAATCCTCAACAAAGTACTATAAAACCAAATCCACAATACATTAAAAAAATCATTATCACCAAGCGGGATTTATTCCTTGGATAGAAGAGTGGTTTAATTCATAAACTAATGAGATATGTCACATCAACAAGGGAAAGGATAAAAAACTGCATGATCATTTCAATACATGGAGAAGAAGCTTTTGACAAAGTACAACATTCATTCATGATAAAACTCCGAACGAAGTGGATTTTCAGGGACCATACTTCAACATAAAAAAAGGCCATATATGAAAAACCCACCGTAGACATCATACTCAGATGAGGAAAAGGTGAGAGCTTTTTTCCTAAGCTCAGGAACAAGACAAGGATATCCATTCTCACCCTTTCATTCTGGAAATTAATAGGCTGGATTTAATAGGCTGTGTGTAACAGACAAGTTGGGGGAGTCTTGCCCTAGTGTGTCCTGCCATCCCCAGGAGGCTGCCAGGGTACTCTTTTTTTCTCTCTGTCAAGTCACTTTCTTTTGGTGTCTCTTGTCACCATGATGGCAGTGAGGTCTGGGGACTGGAGACAGTCTGGCCCCAGAACCACAGCATGAATTCCTTGCCAGGGCCTGAGCATTCCTGATGCAGAGGCTGCTGCGGTCCCTGCTGTGAGCACCTGCTCGTCTCCGCTCATCGTTTCTTCACATTCCATGTTACAGAACATCTGCGCCCCAAGAAGGGTCTGGTGGAGGCGGATTTAACCCCTTGTTTTACAAAGGATCATGTAAAGTCATTGAAGTTGTGAAAGTCTCTTTTTTTCCCCTGTAAATCTATTTTTCACACAATATAAGAAACATCAATGACCAGATCTGTCCTCCCTCCTCTTTCCCCTTCACCTAAGATCTTCATTCCCGTTTTTATTGTCTTTGTGTTCAGAGTAAACTAGGTGACTTACTTGTACAAAATGTTATTTTGCCACAAGAGACAGTAATAAAAGATTTTCACAGTAAAAAAAAAAAAAAAAAAAAAAATAGTACTGGAAATCCTAACCATAGCAGTCAGACAACAAAAAGAAGTAAGAGGCATCCAAATTGTCAAAGAACAAATAAAACTTCTATTTGCATGTGACATGATACTGTATACAGAACTCCCTAAAGATTCCACCAAAAACCTTCTAGAACTGGTAAATGAATTCAGTAAGGTCACAGTATACAAAAGCAATATATAGAAATCTGTTGCATTTCTATACATAGAAGCAGAAAGAGAAAATAAAAAAATAGTCCCTTACACAGTTGTACTAAAATATAAAATACCTAGGAATAAACTTAACTAAAGAGGTCAAAAGCCTATAATCTGAAAACTATAAAACATTGATGAAGGAAATGGAAGATAACACTAACAAATGAGAAGATACTCCATGCTCATGGACTGGAGGAACAAATACTGTGAAAGTGTCCATACAGCTGAAGTAATGTATAGATATAATGCAATCCCTATGAAAATATCCATTATATTTTTCAGAGTTAGAACAAATGATCCTAAAACTTGTGTGGAACACAAAAGACCCTGAATAGCCAAAGTGATCTTGAAAAAGAACAGAACTAGAGATGACACAATCCCAGATTTCAAGATGTAGTACAAACTTGTAGTAATCAAAACAGTATGGTACTGGCATAAAAATGGATACATAGATCAATGGAACAGAATAAAAAACCCAGAAATAAACTCACAGTTACATCATCAATTAATTTATAAAGGAGGCAAGAATATGTAGTGCTGAAAAAGTCCGTTTAACAAATGGTGTTGGGAAAACTGGAGAGCTATGTGCAAAAGGGTGAAAGTGGACCACTTTCTTATACCATACACAAACATAAGTTCAAAATTGACTAAAGACCTAAATGTGAGACCTCAAACCTTGAAAATCCTGAAAGGAGAGCACAGATAGTAATTTCTCTGACATCGGGTGTAACAACATTTTTCTAGATATGTCTCCTGAGGCAAGGGAAACAAAAGCAAAAGTAAACTGTTAGGGCCACATTAAATAAAAAGCTTCTGCACAGCATAGGAAGCAATCAACAAACAAGAAGAGAACCTAGTGAATGTGAGATCTTTGCAAATGACGTATCTAATGAAGGTGATAGGGATAAAGTATATAAAGAACTTCTACAATTCAACATGAAAAAAACAAATAATCCAATTTTAAAAAGGGTAGGAGACATGAATTGACATTTCTCCAAGGAAGATGTACAGATTACCAAAGACACATAAAAGATGGTGAACACCACTCATCATCAGGGAAACACAAATCAGAACCAAAATGACATACCACCTCACACCAGTCAGAGTGGCTGCAATCAAAAACACAAGACACAACAGGTGTTTGTGAGGATGTGAAGAGAAAGGAGCCCTTGTGCGCTGTTGGTGGGAAAGTAAATTGGTGTAGCCACTGTGGAAAACAATATGGAGGTTCCTCAAAAAATAAGACTACCAATTGATTCAGCAATTTAGTTGTTCCACTATTTACCTAAAGAATATGAAAACACTAGTTCAAAAAGATAACATGCAGTCCTATGTTTAATGCAGCATTAAATAGCCAAATTATGGAAACAACTCAAGTGTCTATGGATAGATGAATGGATAAAGAAGGTGTGACACACAGACACACACTGGAATATTATTCATCCATAAAAAGGAAATCTTTGGGCTCCTGGGTGGCTCAGTCAGTTAAGCGTCTGCCTTCGGCTTGGGTCATGATCCTAGGGTCCTGGGATCGAGCCCCATATTGGGCTCTATGCTCAGTGGAGAGCCTACTTTTCTCTCTCCCTCTGCCCCTGCTGCTCTGCTTACTTATACTCTCTATCTCTGTGTCAAATAAATAAAACCTAAAAAAAAAAAAAAAAAAAAGAATGAAATCTTGCCATTTGCCACAATGTAGATGGAGCTATACAGTATTATGCTGAGTGAAATCAGTCAGAGAAAGACAAATACCATATGATTTCACTCATATGTGGAATTTAAGAAACAGACAAATGAACAAAGCAAGAAAGAGACAAACCAAAAAACTGACTCTTAACTACAGAGAACAAACTGGTCACCAGAGGGGAGGTGAATTGGAGGATGTGTAAAATAGGTAAAGGGGATAAAAAGTACATTTATCATGAAGAACACTGAGTAATGTATAGAATTGTTGAATTATGATATTGTATACCTGAAACTAATATAACATTGTATGTTAACTATACTGGAATTAAAATTTAAGAAAAGAGAAGAAAGAAGAAAAGAATAAAGAAAAGTTATTCAGCTTTGGTAGTTAGCAATATGCATTTTAAAGCTACAATGAGATATTATTTATATCTGTCTATATATGTTAATATTTAGAAAGTCAGATAGTACTGTTATTGATTTCCTAGAGGTGTAACAGGTATTGCTGTGTACTACTAGTGAAAATACAAGTTAATGCAATTTCTTGGAAAATAATTAGTGAATCTGAAGGTATACCTATTGTATGGCCTAACATTTCAGTTTCTGGGCCCTTGCCTTAGAGAAACTCTTTTATAGGTACAACTAGCAAAGCATAACTAGCAGCATTGCTCATAATAGAAATATGAAACAACTGCACTGTTCATCACTTTGGGAATGGGTTGAAACATTTGCTTTATATTTATACTGTAGTGAAAATTGAAGGGATTGAAAAAACTGCATTAACTCATTGTTTAGTATGAGTCTCAAAACATGCATTGAAAAGAAAATCATTTAGTAATAAACCATATATGAATTTCAAAAGCATTCAAACTTAATGAAGTATCCCTATATAAGCGATTTAGTAGCATACTATAATAACAGCAGGGGGATCTTAAACACAACATTTAGAATATAAGGCTTTCTTATTTTAGTGTGAAAGCAGTGGAATAGGATTAGGAACTTCAGAAGTACGTATAATCTTTGGTTGGTTAAGCGGGGTTCCCATATTGTTACATCATCATTTTCATATTCATATATATTATATGTAGTCTTTGAAAGTTTGAAATATTTAATAATAGTAACATTAGAGCTAGAATATCAAATCTTTCTTACTTGGCCAATCTGCTCTTTCATAGCACTGATGTTGGTAGCCTTTCCCTGTTTCCAACATAAATCTCTGAATTGATTTTTTCAGGCTACCTGGTGCCTTTCTCATGTTTTATGGCTTTGTGCTTCATAAAGTACGTGCTTAAACTTAGTTTCTGAAATATCATTGCAACCAATTTGCTACCCTTGGTAGGAAAGAATTTTTAATTGTTAGAAAAATCTTGCAGCAAGAATTCTTTGTTCGTTTTCAGCTGTTACTTGGTGTCGGTGGTATAGATTTGTAAATGAAAATGTTCTTTTCTGTGCATATATATGAAAAGCTTGGTTTTTCTCCCCTTTATCAATAGGCAAGTGAAAGACCAGAATAAGAAGGTAGCAAATCTGAAGCACAAGGAACAGGTGGAAAAGAAGAAGAGCGCACAGATGCTTGAGGAGGCTCGACGAAGGGAGGACAATCTCAATGACAGTTCCCAGCAACTACAGGTTAGAACACGAGGACAGTCTGAAAGGATTGGGTGAAGAGATTTGATCCATAATTGCATGTTGTTTTCCTCTTCATCTTTATCCTCCTCTTTTTTCTCTTTGTAACCCTGCTTGCTGCCTTCCTCTGAGACCCAACTGTTTAGCAATAAAGGAATGGCTTTAAATAGAAAAGGCAAGTTTTATTCCACAGCTTTGTGAGGACATCCCAGCATAGGAGAAAGTTCACCTTGCTTCAAGTCGATCACATTTAATTGGTAAGTTCAATGTCAGTTTAATGAGTGGGTTCTGTTAAGCTTCAGGGTGGTCCGTGTTACAGTTTGCCATCTTCCTTCATTAAAGTGCATTGCTAAACTTGGTTCGTGTCTGTTGAGCTTCCTCCTGTGTTTTTCATTCTTCTTTTCCCTTTTCCCCTGCCTTTTCCTTTTTGCCCTCTCCCTCTTTCTTTCCCTCCTTTTTAAACATTCAATGTAGAGAGCATATTTCACAGTCATACAGGATGTATAAACTATAATTTTTTACTTCAGCAGAGTGATAATTGATGTGTAGACCTAATGATTCACAAATTAGGGTGAAATTAGACTCCATAATGATAGGAGTAGTGATGATATGAGAAGTGTGTATATGTGCCCAGTACTTGGCCCTAGGCCCTGGTCATTCATGGTTTCTAACCTTTCAGTGATCCAGTGGGACAGATGGTTTTGTACACATTTTATAGATAAGGAAACAGACTCAGAGAAATTGAATTATTCGCCTAAATGCACACAGTTTTCAAAGTGGCTCAGCCGTGACTTTAACTGAGACTTTCTGGATCTCTAGCCTGTCAGAATGAAGGTTTAAATTTTAGAGAAGAATATCATAAGCTTTGCTAGAAACCTCTGAAACTTCTGCCAAGGCTGCTAAGCCATTGTCATTTCGTTTTTCTCTCGTTACAACTTCGAATTGGGTATGAGGGATTTTGTCACAGTTGCATTATCATGAAATCTTTACTGGAGAGATTTGGAAGAGTTATTATTGTGGAAGCCATTTTTAGGCTTTACAACAAATTCTATTTCAGACGTATTTTTAATTTCTTTTTTCATTCATCTTTTATATAAATTTTATTGATTATAAAGTACGTAGTGCTTATAGGAATAGTATACATTTTCTCAAATGCAGCACCTTTTGATAAAGCAGCATACCAATTTTCCCTTCCTCTTGCCAACAACAGTCAATACTGCCAATTTTCTCTTCCTCTCTGCCAATCTGATGGATGGAAAATATTTAATTTTTGTTTTAATTTATATTTCTCTGATTACCAGTGAGGCTAAGTATTTATTCATGTCTTAAATTGTCATTTGTTAATGTAAATCAGATATTATTTCTCCTCCGTGTTGGCCCTTTCCCCAAGCATTTTTTGGTTCATTTATTCCTGTTAAGGGAATATATAAATATTTATCTACAAATATTTTTAAGTTGTTCTGGGCTTTCACTTTTTACCTATATGTTTTTTTAAAGATTTTATTTATTTGAGAAAGAGAGACAGAGCGTACACAAGCCAGGAGAAGGGGCAGAGGGAGAGGGAGAAGCAGACTCCCAGCTGAACAGGGAGCCTGATGCGGGGCTCAGTCTCAGGACCCTGGTATCATGAACTGAGCCGAAGACAGATGCTTAACAACTGAGCCAACCAGGTGCCCTCATCGTTACATTTTTTTTTTTTTAAGATTTTATTTATTTATTGGACAGAGATCACAAGTAGGCAGAGAGGCAGGCAAAGAGAGAGGAGGAAGCAGGCTCCCTGCTGAGCAGAGAGCCCCATGTGGGACTGGATCCCAGGATCCTGGGATCATGACCTGAGCCGAAGGCAGAGGCTTTAACCCACTGAGCCACCCAGGCGCCCCTTACCTTTACTTTTTCTTTTTTTTTTTAAAGATTTTATTTATTTATTTGACAGAGAGAGCACGTGAGATCACAAGTAGGCAGAGAGGCAGGCAGAGAGAGAGGGGGAAGCAGGCTCCCCGCTGAGCAGAGAGCCCAATGTGGGACTCGATCCCAGGACCCTGAGATCATGACCTGAGCTGAAGAGGCTTAACCCACTGAGCCACCCAGGCATCCCTACTTTTTAATTTAAATTATTTTAAGGTATTTTGTGTCATGAGGGTCTTATTTTTCTTCATTGCTAAATTTCACTAGGTTATTGATAGGAAATTATTTCATTGCTCACAAGTTTGAATTGGCATCTTTATATTTGATGAAATTATTTAATAGGCTATTCCTAGGATTTCTTTCAACCTCATTTGTTGAAGTACGATCACATTATTTTTAATTACAGAAAATATTTATTTTATAGGACAAGCCCTTATTTATGTTATCTCTTTAACATTTCATTTATCTTGTGCCCTCTGTCCCTTTAATGTTTTGTTACTAGTCTATCTGTGTAAACTGAAAGATGCCCTTTTAATCTTTTGTCAGTTTTTATGTTAACATCAAAAAAGCCTTCACGTGTAATATCCCATTTCCTCTTTGTATAATTTAAGAAGTAAGTCAGATTATTTATTTATATATTACATAGAAAACTAATTTAGAGTAGATGAATGATTTTTCCAAGGTGTCTCAGTAAGTGATGGCTATAAATTTTATGAGAAATGATAGTTCATGGCCATATGCAAGATACACATGGATGTAATTTATTGAAACACAGGGAAAGGGCATAGTATTACAAATAGGATAATTTGCATCTGATCTCAGCTCTTTTACTAATTTTGCCACTTACTTCTTAACCATTTTAGTGCAAATGACAACCTGGTGGTAGCTAGCATTCAGATTGTGATCTCTGAATAGGATTCCCCACTAAAAGAAGCTAGAGATTCTTGGAGAAATGGCTAATCACAGAATTCATGGGAGTAAAATAGTAGAAAAGCAATTGATTTAAGATTTGTATTAACAGTAGCTCTTAATACCTGAATCTTTTTGTGTTTTAAATTTCTGCATATATATTTGGGCCCATTTATTGATGTTTTTTATGAAATAGGAAATGCAAATGGAAGGAATTATTTTAGTATTTCCATTATAGGCATAATAATTCTAGGATTATAATATGTTCTCTATCGTGTTAAAAAATATAGTTAATGTTTTCAACTTTGATGAATAATGAATATTTAATCTTCATCAGATGCCACCTGCCTTCCAAAGATTAATTCTTTTGATCATGTTAATAAGCACATAGTGTGTTTTGTTTGTGAAGATTTGAACCTGCTTTAAAACTAGAAGGTTCATTTTCATGTTTTGTTATTCAGTGACTGACTGCCAGCTATGGTAGTTTATTGTGGCTTCACTCCTCCTAGCAGAAATTACAATTTGCCACAAAGCAGTAGTACTGCTTTTAAAATTTGCCTTTCTTTATTCTGAAAGATAAATTTATTTATTTATTTATTTATTTTATTTTTTTTTTTAAAGATTTTATTTATTTATTCGACAGACAGAGATCACAAGTAGGCAGAGAGGCAGGCGCAGAGAGGAGGAAGCAGGCTCACGACCTGAGCTGAAAGCAGAGGCTTCAACCCACTGAGCCACCCAGGCGCCCCAGATAAATATATTTTAAAAAATACATAATAAAAAGCATATGTATACACACAGTGTAAATAATACATACAAAGTGGTCATCTCGGAAAATGAGAAGATTTTTGGTATCCCAGAAGTCACATGTGTATTCCTTCCCAATCATTATTTCCTCCCTTCCTTCAGAGGAAATTATTACTTGGACTTTTATTGCTCTTTGCAACCTGTGTATATATTAAATAAAAAGTATAAGTTAGCCTTACATATTTTTATTTTATATAAATAGAGTCATCAGATTTATTCTTTTGTGACTTATTTTGTTCAATATCATATGTGAGGTTTGTTCTTGATAGTTGTGTGTAATATTTGCACATTTGTCCTTGCTGTACTGTTTTTTTTTTTTTAACTTCAAAATTCTAGGCTTTATCTTGAAAGTGTTTTGAAAAGATAAGTTCATTTCTTCCCAGTTTTCCATGTTTTGAGTATTTAGATGGAACTTAAAGTATTCCTTTTTGGCACAGCATGAGTTTGGAAATAAGTTGTTACTTTACTCATTGTTCTTGGCTCATCACATTAAAAATGTTCCAAAAAGATTAAACAAATTCCTTACATATGAAATGAAAATCATACCTGATAATGGAGGGAACTTGGGAATCCTGCAAACTATAAACATGGCCATTGTTTATCATGGCCTTAGTTATGAGTGTCCTTTTTAAGATATGACTGCATACCATTGTATTCTGTTTGTACCTTTGTATTTTGGACAGTTATAACTAAGATATATTAACTAGTTTCAAATTTTTTGGTTTTAGAAGTCCCTTTATACTCTTAAAAATTAGTAAAGTCTCAAGCAAGATTTTTTAATGTGGGTTATAATTAGCATATACATATACAGTTAGCTTATTGACCTGGGTATCCATCATCTCGTTGTATCTGAAGATGCATCTCCAGCAGTATAAGATATTCACATAAAAAGTTATTTTCGGTGTTGTTGGTAAGTGTGAACTATTGGACAACCTAAATGCCCATAGATAGAGAGTGCTTGAATCTCCTGTGGTACACCCATACATTGGAGACTTGGCAGCTTTAAAAAAGAGAGGAAGATCTCTAATGAGCTGATACGGAATGATTTCCTGGACATCCCATTAAGTTGAGGAGGGGGAGAAGCACAAAAACTATTTGTTGTATGCTAATCTTGGTATAAGAAAATATACACATATCTGATCTTTTTTACAAAAGAAAACAGGAAGGATAAACTAGAAAGTAGAGAGACCAGTAATCTATGGGAGTGTTGGGAAGAAGAATGGAAAGAAGGGGGAAATGGAATTGGGGTGGTGCATTTGAAGAGAACCTTCTCTTAGCATATCTCTAGAGAATAGCTCTGACTCTCCAAACCGCAGTAATATTTCACATACTCTAAAACCTAAGTAAACGAAACCAATCAGATGCATTGGGGGAAACCAAAA